TGTATTTTATCGAATGATCGAGGAAACAGGATCAGTTACTTCAGCGAGCATCCAAAAAGTATCAAACTGTAGTATCAAAAAGTATATAGTGTAAACTGCTGCAGTACTACAAACTCCATGAATTAATTAGGTTTAATTACCTTTCAAAATAAGCATAATACGTAGCTAATTATTAAAACTGGAGGTCGTCCAACGGTCGAATACTCGACCAAAAATATCAAAACCTCTTTAATTTCACCCCACGCTGTAAATAAAACATGTGATTGGAATTTATTCAATTTGTTTTGATTTTATGTTTGTATTTCGTTGTCATTTCGTCACCAGCATGGCAACCCATAAGGCCTATGTTATTTATGTTATTTTTTTAATTTAATTTAATTTGCTTGCTTATTTTGAAGCCTACTTTAATTTATAAAGGGATTCTGCACATCTACAGGAAAATATACAGTATGCGTAGATTTTCTCTACGATGCACACGAGCTGAGAAAAAAGGTTTTAAAGAAACATGCTTGCCTACTAATATATAAATGTACCCTAATATCTTTTGGAAGTGGTAGAAACTAGTATTACAATGGGTGCCAAGGTTAATGTAATTGTTGAGAAAACAATTGTAAAACCTGTCATAAATCTCACTCAACAGGCGCGCTAAGACTTTAAGACCAGTTACTGTATTTTGGGACACGATAAGGGTTTCAAGGCGGCCTCGGTAGCACATTTAAAGGCACATTTGTGACACCGAGCTAAATATAACGTGTTAATATCGACATTAACATAACAGAGTGTTAACTAGAGTGAGGCTTGCTAAGTGTGATCTACATGCATTGCGCACTTGGTGCAAATATACTTTCGAAATTCGTAATGCTCAGCAAGTCATAGAGACAGAATTGCTAGTACATATTGAAGATTGTGTAAATAAACTGTCCATAATAATTTTTGCACTTATAGACTTGTTTCAGCACGTGAGCGGACAAACGTTTACAGTTATTTTCTAAGTAACCCACACATTACATCTACAAGAGTTCATTCTAGTTTCAGTGCAGTCCTAAATCCTTATCAACAGATGTTTATCAACACATGTGTTTTATCACCTCCCATTTAGGACTGTACTGAAACTAGGAATGAGTATGGACAGTGGTGTTTTCCCACTGTATGTGTATGGGTAGTTTTTAAAAATCGGTCATGGAAAAAATGTTATTAAGACATTAATACAAATCCTATGACCAAATCCCTAATACAAATCCCATGTCCGAAACCCAATTACTCTCCATAAAACTAACATTTAATATACTTCGGTAATTAATTTATCAGGTACAACAATACACAAGCAAAATATTTAATTGGTAATATTTAGCCTACATCTTCTATGGCTAAAGAGAAATCTCTGAAATACACTTTTAAGGGAAAGTGGTTTACCTCTCAAACCTTCGTGGATAAACCAAGAATCGAACCCATCCTTACCTCATCGATGTCTGAAAAGATTGGGCCAACCACAATATTAGCAAACCGCAAATGTGCTACATAAACCTACAGTTGGTCGGAAATTAACTAAACGTGTTTAAAGTAAACTTTCAGTGTAAATGTTGCCAATATAAAGGTGGCAATGATTCAACTAAACAATTGACTAATAAAAATGACAAAGAAGCGATTACAAGCGAAACGGTCCGCCATACGATGACTAAGCTATTGTGTTGGTTAGGCATTGAATTGGAGAACACGCATACATAATGATGCGTTTCCAGTGTATGAAAACAAACTAAAAAGTCTAAAAGACCGCCGACTTGTTTGGATGAATCGCACAAAGTCCAGGACAATCTAGTCTCAAATTTTCAAAACCAATCATAACAGTCCTTGATTTAGTGTTGGACTTTGTGCCAAAGTTTTGTTTGACATGAGACAGTTTTAGCGTCAAATGTGAAGATTTTGAGAAAAAAAGGATTGAGGAAAATGGAATATCAAAGTGATTGAAAACGGCAAACAGAGACTGAAAATGAAGAGCGCCTACGGTGAATAAATCGAGGATGAAATGAAATGTCGGTAAACTGCTAAAGAAACAACATACTGTACTGGGATTCGCCCGGCCAAGGGCCCGGTCCCGTGCCGACCGGAATGAAAAGTCTACTGTAGCCTACGATATTTGTTGTCTGAAATTAACACAGAATATGGTACACATTTTAATGTAACATTTTGTCGAGTCATGTAAGCTACGCGTGATCCCCGAATGTAAAGAGATAAACTGAGATCACGACAGAACAAACCGTTCGTCACGATGTACTCACAGTGGCACGTTTATAACGTTAGTACAACTGTCTTGAGCGCAAGTTGCAATTCTTCTATCTTACCGCAAAACAAAATTTACACCTATTTGATGATTATAGAATATATATTTTTCATCACTCCAGATAAAAGTAGCCATTTTTTATGGCTGCTGATGTCAAATAGGTTATCGTATTCACCCGAAACAGTTGCACACCCTGAAGCAACAACTGTAAAATATCGTTCTCTGAGCGTGATTTTACAGTGATTAGCCGATTGTTATACTCCAACAGCACGTTTTAGCATAAATAAATATAATCTTATTGGTATTTTTAAAACAATAAAACTCAAAGAAATTCAGTTAAGCTTTAACTTGGCAACTTAAAAGTCCTGAGGAGTTTAGATAATTTCAAGACAATAATAATGTAATAGTAAATACTTACAGTAACTAATGGTAATTATTATAGTACAAATCATATAATTGGATTTGGATACAGAAACTAGACCAGTAAACGCCGAAACACTGTGTTCACCGTATATAAACTATATAAACATACCTTACAAATTACTTATAACTATACAATAGAATACGACGGTGGTAAGTTTAATCTACTGGCATACTATCATAGTAATGGTATGCACTGGATATATATCAACAAGGGGGTTGGGGGTGGTTCTCCATTACATTTACAGTCAGTTACTTTCAACATTATTCAGCGAGCTGCACGCGACGTTACCTTTACCTACCTTCAGCGTGTCAACAATAACACGCTATCAATCAACCCCATGCTAATACTGCACACACTATAACACGTGATGAATGTCAGGCCGGTGTTTATATGGCACATAAGTACACTAGATATCCAAATGGTAGGCAAGTTGTTTCGTCACGTCTACAAGTAATTTGGAAAGCTGCTAAAAAGATTTTAAACATGTAAAAGTTGAAATTTAAGATGCAGTTTTCTTTCAAAAAGTGATTAAACTCGAGATTTGTTATAGCTTTGTCTTAAATCACATTGTTTTACAATTCAAACTTATACTACAACTGTAATATATAACCGCTGCTCTCCTTATTTTCTTTGAAAACGTTTAAATTGTTCTAAATATTGTTGAAACTAACTAGTTGTTACCCACGGGCTCCATAAGTATTAATAAAACTATTGATTGGTAAGTTAAGCTGAAAGTACCTGGGGACCGAGCTTTGCTCGGGGGAAACCATGGCCCCACTCTGCGATGCCAGCCTACTACTTCCTTCACAGTAACAAACAAATAATCACACCTGATTTTAATAAGGTAATAAATTGAAAAAAATAGCAAACAAATAAGTACAGCTGAGGTATTTTTAACATTAGGTTTATGGAACGTTCCCTTTAGAAAGGAATTACGACAATTACGACCTTAAAGGGCAATTTAAGAAATAATGGATAGTTTTGAGCAAGGTTTCTCGTCATGACGAACATTTTAAGTATATGGTTTATGGTGGTGTGATTTGTAGTTTTCGCAAAAGTTCATGGGTACTTTGGAATTTATATATGGATTTGTACTATATGAAACCGTCCCTGTTGATGGACCAAAACTACTGATACACACGCGAATCAAATGGTTACGAAAGTAACTGTATAGTTACAGCGGAAACTTTGATTGTCACTACTTTGTTCCTATATTTAAAATACAAACATTTAAAACCAGGGGGCTCAAACATATCAAGCAATTTTATTTCCAGTTATTCAGTGAAAAGTCAAATTAATGTGACAATGATTCATAAAATGCATCACTGAATTAATTTTACAATACAGGTTAATAATTGTGGTGGGCGTCTAGCTATATCAATAAGGTAGGCTTATTAATAAGTAGGATCAGGTTCCATATAGATAGGATGTCTAGTTCATATGTATTCAAAGTCAATGGCCATTTAATTTATGATCACGAGAAAAAAATCAAATGCTTGTATTGAACATGGTGATTATAATAAACATGATGGTCCACTCAAAATGCACTATATTCTGTAATCACGTCTGTTGATAAGCAGAATTACTCAACTCACGTTTCCATCATAAATAGACTATTATCATTGATCATAACCATCAACCACAAAACCAAACTCCTATTATTGTTCGGCTGAAATCATACTATCATAAATAACACTGTTTATATAAATAATGTTTTATCGTGTGTAATCGATGATTGAAAAGCTTGAAAATTAATAGGATATGAAAGGGACACCATATACAATTTCAAAAATCCATATCATTGTGTATAAACCACAGTAAGTTAACAATTTAAAATTGAAAATTGACGTAGTTACAATAATATTCAGTATAAATCAGTGGCGTTAAGATTAATATTTTGGTTTATATAAGCCATATATTTAAATAACAATTTGATAACTTTTGCGGTGTCACATCGAAGTAAAACTATTGAAACTAACAATGATGATAAAAAAATTCGTTTTGACCTAATTTAAATATTTTTATCATTGAAACGATAGTCGCATATTTGAAAAACCTACATATGGGGACAAATTATATTATCCTCGAAGTAAATTCAATTAGGTTTTTGCGGCAACATAACCTAATCACTAGTCACTAGACACCAAATACATCAAACTACAAAATGTCCAAAAGTGAAACATTTTACAACAAACAATAAATCTAAAGCATTAAAAGACAAAAAAATAACATTATGAACTGCACATTCGGAACCACGAACCTACATCTAACATACATCAACAATGACAAGTGGCTTACCTTGATCCCTATACGAGCCAACGTGGACGAGCGTCTGGAAAAACTCATTCTTGTTCCTTGGGGAAGTTCCTAGAGCGGTGAAGTAGCGGAAGGCAGTCATATGGAGTCTGCAACTGAAGGTGGAGCGTGCCTCTGCGAACACACACGCGGCATGTCAGAGCGGCTACAGAATGATACTGATGAGTGATAACTGATAAGCCGGTGGGGGAGGGGGGGGGGGGTACTGTACATGCGTGTGTGTGCGTGATACTCACCTTCGAGTATCGCACGTCACCGTGGTCTTATCACATGTCTCGAGGGTTAAACCATGAGTTAAGGGTAAGCGCAAAAGACTCAGTAAAAGTAGATTATTGTCGTGGAAAATGAATTGTAGCCTATCGATTATAAATTATTTTTATATTTTTTCAAATTAGTTTAGCTATTTAAATGAGTCCCCTCCTTTGCCATTTGATTGATTTCGGGATTTATCCTTGCTGATAATCAATTTGTTAGTACTGTATCACTGCAGTAAAAAGAATAAGAAAACTCTTTGCTTGAGTTTACAAAGTATCTTGGTGTCCGTGCTTAGGGCGACCAAGTTCTATGAACCTTTAAAATAAATCGCAGATTGTTACACAATGACTATGATTTCTCGACTTTTGATTACTTTCCATCTGCGAATGTGAAAATATTTGTATGTTACCTTCTCTATAGCCTACACAACTTTTATATTCATTAAAACAGATTAAGGTTATGTTATGTTACATGTTAGGTTAGAACTCAATTTCCAAATACATTTACTTTTTATTTAAAATATATTGAACTTATCAGAAAGATGAAAAAAATTCCAAAATAGAAAAATTTAGGATAAAACAATAAACTGAACATCTTAAAGATAACTTCGTATTGATGGGGATCAATACGAAGTTATCTTTGATGTTCAGTTTATTGTTTGGAAATATAGCATAATCGTATATCTATACAGTACTTATTTAATACGCAAGCAGGTTTTTTGTGACAATTACTCCTCCGAAACTACTGAACCGATTTACATGTTTTTGGTGTCATTGGAAAGAGCGTAACGTGAAGTTGTGCAGGAAACTTTCTGTTTAGGGAAATAATTAGAGAGTGAGGCCCTGGGACCCTTTTAAGTTCATGGTATTTCTCCATAAGATTAATATGGAAAACAAACATTGTTATGAAACTCCAGATGTTGTCAGAAATTAAAGTAGGGGGGTATGATTCTTGGTCGGTATAGTGAGTAGTGGCAGTTCGTGGTCAGTACAATGAGTAGGGGTAGTTTGTGGTCAGTACAGTGAGTAGGGGTAGTTTGTGATCAAAAGGCCTACAGTGAGTAATGGCAGTTCATGGTCGGTACAGTGAGTAGGGGTAGTTCGTTGTCAGTAGATTGAGTAATGGTAGTTTATGATAAGTATTAGATGTGGGGGTCTGTTATGTTATGATCAGAATGGGGCAGGTATTGTTTCTGATTACCAATTTTAGGTTAAAATAAATATAGCCTATAATAGCATATTTTTTAAAAAAGAAAATTGATTTTAAACATAATCCTAGTTTTGAGTTCAGAAACAAGAACTCACTAAAACTTAAGCCACATTACTCTTTTTAACTTTTATTTTTTTCCCTATTAGGCCACTAAAGTAAAATGTTACTAGGCCTACATGTCTGGGTCATTGTTTAATATCTGGTTTTATGGTAAGGTTTTGTCTAATTCAAATAATTTCTTAAAATGCAGTGAAAGGAAACCTTTCCAGCTAGCTGATAACAATAATATTGAGACAAGGATACCACCATCACCATGGGTGATACCCGAACATCAAAGCAACCTGACAGGTTGGAAAGTGACTTGAACGACAAAATGTAATTTGTACTCGCATTCCACTAGGCCAACTAGCATGCAAGTAGATTTGTGGTTTACACTTATTCGAGGTGGAATGCGAGCTGTACTCGTTTGCAAACTCAAATTAATGTAAACACGCAATTATTATGCTGATTCTAGGCAAGAAAATTGTTTAACACTTCAGAGTTTAAGATAATCAAAAGTTTTAACTTAATCAGCGGATTCAAAGAAATGTAATTTGGGGAGGGAGATAAACATGTAACATTGTAAGCAGTCACTGGTCTTAGTCAGTAACAAAGCTACACAAGCATCACACTTCACTCTTCATTCATACTTCAACTATATTTGGGTTAAAATACGCATATAAAAATGTCCCCACCTTAAATGAATATGAATAATTATATGAGTACAAACTTTTCTACTGTATATGCAATGATTATCACTGATAACAACACACTAGATGTTGGATAAGACATTACAAGTGCTTGTATCACAAAGACTAATGGTTTGACTTGTAACAGTTCGACACAATGTTAAAAGACAATCATGCCTCGTTAACTGTGTAACTTCGTTATACAATGTAATCATACGCATGTTGGAAAATTTAACCAAGCTACACTTAATGAGGAATCACCTTGTGACCTCAGAAGCAGTAAAGAAGGCGAGTTTGTTAAAATTTCGAATAAATTACATTACACCTGATGTTTTTATAGCTAATTGATATATCCTAATGTTTATATAAGCTGGTCTTTGTTAAATAGCTACACAAGGTTTCATATCATCCATGTCTGAAGTCTGACACATATATAATTTAATTACATCAGGATAACCCTTTAAACTCCAACCAAAGGCCAATACTTTTGGAAGACATGAGTAACAATTTAAAACATTCACTAAAGCTGGATTTTCCTAAACGCGGAAGCAGTTTTAGGATCGTCCAGTGGCAGTCCGCTCTGCTTCTGGGAAAATAGTAGGCCTACCATTAAATATTACAGTAGTCGCAGTTAGCCTGGGCACGCGGACCCTTATGTACTAACCGTCCCCCACGCCAAAGCCATGAAGACAGCACTGAGGCGCTGAATAATCCCAGAGAGCCGTGTGGGCCAGATGTTTTTGGAAATGAGCAATAAACACTACGCTCTACACCCCCCGCCTTGGCCCGGCCGCGAGCCCAGACTAGCTGTGACTACTGAACCTAAGATAAAAGGAGAGCTGCCTCCGCTCTCCCTCTCCCTAGGAAAAACCAGCTTTATGTACATTAATGCCAATAAAGTTAGTATATGACATTGCCTCTCTAAACAGGGAACTTAACCTTAGGTCAAAATTTCAAATCACACACACCTGCAACGTAGTCCACCAAGTTTGAACCTGTCTGCGACAGAGCTCAGTGGGTAAGCCACACTGAAAATTAATGGTCTATGGCTCAGGTGGAACCTAGTAGGATGAGTAGATTTAGATGTTTCGCACCTTTGATCAGGCAGCATGCAATTTATCTACTGTATGTCCCATATGTCTAGACCTATTTTATGGAAAATTTTATTTTTTCAGTACCGGTAGAGTAAAAAAAAATGAATATTTTTTTAACCGCCTTTTTTTATATTTATATTACAAGTCAGTATTAAGTCATCAGATATATTACAACAAATCATTGGTATGAGTTGCGAATGATTTGACTTGAGCTGGCTTGAGTCCATGTTTAACTCGGACTCAAAAATCACTAATTTTCTGAGCCAGGTGATGGTCGAGTTATCCAGACTGTCGGGTTATCGAGTGCCGAGTTGCCGAGTTTGCGGGACTATACTGTACCGAGACTTGGGTTTCCTAAGGATTGGAAATAAGAGGTGATATTCACCATGTTTGTCCCTGTCTTCACACAATTCATGCACCCCGACACTTCTCCTACTGATCAAAAACTGCCACCTAAAGGTATTTTCCTCAAGACTAATACAAGTCGTCTTTGACAGAGCCTTATTAAGACCATCTACAGCATACAATGTGCTAGGTAGGCCTACGCTACACTGTCTGTGTGTTTCTATGCTAAGATATGCCCAAACTCGGAAACAATGAATATTCCTATATCTTTATGATAATAGTCTACAAATTACCTAGCTTCCTTCTTTAGACAGTAGGATTTCAATAGCAAGTAAAAGTGTCAGGACTTGATATTGGACAAGAAGGCGCAACAATCCAACAGATGGAACACTGAGCCAAATATCGACAGAGAGTTTTCATTTGTCTAGTTATTTTTAGCTTTAAATGCAATTTGGTGTTGCACTACCTAATTATAGAATACAGTCTGTAAGTTTATCTACAATCTCTAAAATGACAGAAAGATCCATCCACATAATTAATAGGGGGTTACGAATGTCTCAATCACAGCAGGCTATCACTTGAGCCTTTTCTTTTTCACCTGATAAAACTAGGAAATTGAAAGTTAACTAATATTTGTGTACCGGTACTAAGAATTCTCAAATCATAACCATCACCACAATAATGTTTTCATACTACCAGTACCGCTATGTCACTTTCTAGATCACAGACCTGTTCTTTTGTGTTATATCCACATGTCCGACAGGTAATGGCCAATATTTTTAGAAAGTTACTCAAATACCGTAGGTGATTTGTACCTTTAAGAGGTTGGCCTAGACTATTCGGTTTGGGTTTGACCTAGTAATATAGTATTTGTGAATTATTTTTGTGGAAGTTGTGTCTCTTTCATTGAATTTTAACAAAAACCATCACTACTAATAGGTGGACAGAATTAAAGGTAGATTAGCATTGTTTTATTGTTAAGTGTGAGGGGTGTTTAGATTAAATGTCCCGTGACAAATTGAGGAACTAAAGAAGATAACTTAACTTAGCTAACTTACCAAATTTTAATTTGTAAGTCTAACAGAAATATTATAGAAAATTTTCTTTTTAAGGGAGTAAACCTTCAAGTTAGGATCTTTATGAGATAATTTATGAGTGACTAGGTACTAAGTATCCATTAACAAGCTTCCTACAGGCAAATCTATAATTATTAACTCAATTGATTTAGGCCTAGCCTTGCAAAAACAGACCTTTCTTCCTTTGTCCGAGTTAAAACCGAGAACCCCCTTGATGTGTAATTTAGTTAAAATGTATATCACAATAAGTTATTATTATGTATAATCATCAATGTATTTTGAACCACAACACAAACATAAGTACCTAACTTAACCTCACTTGATAATCATTCAGTTAATTTCAACACGTTCAAGCAACACAATTTACATCATCAATTAAATACTTTTGCTGGTTTTTAGACCTCCTGTTACAAATTACTTGTACTTCCCTATCCAGACGACTAAGAAAACATTTAAGAAGAGTATTTCAAGGTAGGACAACTTAAGACTTAAACAAACTTATGTGTTTGGTGAGTAACTTACCAATGCATGGAAAGCGCTTTCATTATACAACAGTTAGAACACAACAGATTCGTTTGAATTATTCACTCAAATAATATCAGCAAAAATTCCAATAGGTTGGCAAAATGCAGTGCACTTTCAGCAAGGAAAGCTGCTGAGTAATGACAAAGACAAACCGTAACCACTTCAGCGAATTGTTTACCGTTTTCGTACAAGAACACGAGTTTGTAATGACAGTTAGTTTACAGTTTAGTTTAGGTTATGGCGCTGTCTTCTTTTTCTTCTCACTAGTAGAACCAGCTGACGCAGATTGCAGTATAGTGGCAAATTTTAAAAGCATTTTTACATAAACTATTAAAGTTTGATCATTGATTAAAACTACTTAATGTAGTATATATATATTTATCATTTTTGTTGATCAGCCGAAGAAAGAATTTAAAGTTTATCCCACCTCCACCCAGTTCATCTAAAGAGCGTATTTTGTTTACTATTTATATCTTGTAATTTAACTAAATTTAAAACTACTTTAACCAAATACAACTTCCTTATAAAAATCCATTGCTTTACTTGTCCTATGTTATTACTGTGTAGCAAAAAGATAAAACAAGAATAAATAAATGTACCCTACAATGAGAATATATTTTGTAGTCTGCACTAACGCTCAATGTGAAGTTCAACCAATCAATCAACACATATGAAAACAGGCTTCTGATAATACACCGTCGGGTGAAAAGTCAACTTGTACTATTCGAAGTCAATACGACTATTAATAGAAACAATATTTCGTCGACACTAGCGTTTGGTGTCACTACACATGAACTAGACGCAATAACTTGGATAACCCAGCTTCAAAGTTAACAATGGCATGAAATGAGAAGTCTACGGTGGCAGATCCAGAGGGGGGGGGGGGCGAATGGGGCGACCACCCCCCCCTCGGTCATGTATATATATATATAAAGTAGAACCTTGATAAGAAGACCCTTATGGGGATTAATCAAATATGACTTGTTATCAAGGTTGACTCCTTATAGAGGTTTGAAATATGTAACATATGCATAAGGGCAATATAAAATTATGGGTATTTGAAAATGACACTTGTGTTATCAAGGGCCACTTGTTTTTGAGGGTCTTCTTTTCAAGGTTCCACTGTAAATATATATTTTATTTATTTATTTACTGCATGTAATACAGTAGTGCATTCACATTGCGTAAAATAATTGTTTACAGTAACTTTGGACAAATAAATGGTATAAAGCTGCCATTTTGGAGACATAGTTTAAACTAATTTTTCGGGGGGTACCCCCGAACCCCTAGGACCCCGGTTAGCCCCCCCCCCCTTGTGACTGTTCTAGAAGTCTACTTGTATTGGTTAGTCTATGATGGCACCTAGATAAAACAGTTGGTTAGTCTATGATAAAACATATTCTCTTATATTAGTTGATTTCTCATCCTTATAGAACAGCGAAGCCTATTTTATTTATAGTTCTATCCGTTGCGCTGTTAGAGGTCGTGTTTTGTTTGCAAAGTTTGTTTCATGTTATTTAAGTCATTTGAAGCCTCTTTTAACCAAATTAATCATAAACAATAACTCATCCCCTAGTTATACAACCAAACAGCAAAGAACAAATCATGAGGGGAAACTGAAATAATAGAATCAAAATTTCTTCGACACTAGCGATCAGTGTCAATTGTTATGAACTAGACACGAAGACTGAGCTTTAAGATTTACAATGGGATGAGAAGTCTACTCTTGTTGGTTAGTCTATGATGGTACTATAGTAAACGCACTAAAGTTATCATTTTTTTACAAACGAACCCGCGGAGTTTGATACTATGGTTAACTCCTTGTAAAATAAAGTTATTCATTTAACAACGTTATAATAATAATCTGTTTAAGGGTTCTTATCATTCTATATCCACTGTATTTATTTCAATTTTCTTAGTGGCCCTTCATTAGTGATTAATGGTTTAACATGTTCGTGGATTTAACTTAATACCCCCTGTCCTATTGGTACTGAATTGTCTCTGTCCAAATCTTTATTGTTAGGTTTGTGTAAAATGTAACTAGAAGATATTCCATTATAGTCGCTTATACGTCATTTTGGCGAATTTCCCATATAGGAAATAGGCAATTACCTGAATGTTCCCATTGTAATAATTTAGTACGCTGACGGGTTGTTGATGCATTTAATGGTTATGGAGAAAATATAAAAAAAACTGTAAATTCAAAATCCCCACGTTATCTTTAAGTATTAAATTTGAATTGTACCATTTGCAAAATAATTAATGCTCTTGAAATGACACAAGAGAGGATTAAGAATTGCCTTAAAATGTATCTACACAAAGCAGTCTTTGATATAATTAAGCTGTACCTATAAACAATTGCACTGTTTATTTGAACTGGATTAATTAGATGGACGGTTGAGGGTAATTTCAGAATACATATTACAGGATCTATATATTTAATACACAGTTGTAAGTCTGTTTTCTCAGTGACTACTGGACTGATCTACAAGATTTATGTGTCAAATTAATTGAAATAATGCGTAGCCTAGCTATTGCCGAATTTCCTTTGAATTTACATTTTTCTAAGGGCTACGACCTACAGCCCTTCAAAGGTCGAGTCAGTACAATTCTTAATGATGAACTAGCTGTGTGCCCGTTCTACGCACGGGGATCTTATAAGTAGTCAGTTGAAACCTTATTACCTATATAAAGAACAGCAGTTGGTTTGCATATTTTCGGATGTGCTGGCAAAACTATTATATATTATATAAACCTAATGTAATGACATATCAAGAAAAAGCAAAACTTATACAGTAAGACATCAGTTAAATTGAATACTACTGTAATAAATAAGGTGCAACACTAACAATAACTAATTTGTAAATAGTGATGTGTTGTTACCTACGTAAAAATTATTATTGTTGATACCACCGGTTCTAAGGAAAAAACCAGCACCAAAAACCAACGTTTACAGTTAAGAACTAGTACATCCGACCAATTAAATGAGTTAAACCAAAAATTTACTTAAAGTTCCGAGGCTATTGATCTCTCTTGGTTTTGGATTTTCTGACAAAAAGTTATGACAACCTATTCGACGCCCCTACTTAGGAAATCGAATAAAAATGTAAAAAAAATCACACAATGTTGTGTTTTTTTAACGTTTTTAATTTGATTTCCTAAGTAGGTAGGCCATGTATCGTAGAGAAAAGTACCGGTATCAAGGATCGTCGTCGAATAGGTTGTCATGAATAATTGGGTAGGCCTACTTACCCAAGATACAGTCAATGGGCTTATTGGCTGTATGGTCCACCGATTGCAGCACATAGCGGTGAGTAGAAACCGAAAGTGACACATTGGAAAAGCGAGTTTAGCATCATCCGTAAACCGGCAAACCTCTGTTATAATCACCCACTGCAGTTATGATTTTTCACACTTCACATTTTTGCGGGTAATTATATCGACCTCCGGACCTCACGCGAAATTAAAAAATTTGTTTTCCAAAATGTTCGAAATTTCACGCTGATTTCAAAAATGATTGTCGTTTTTTTCGGAAACGTCCCGTTTTCCCGGAAAATGGGAAAAACGGGAAAAATATTTTTTTGCTCAAAACCTATGTTGTGGGTACTCAGATTGTGCGGAATTTCCTCCTGAACAAGAATATGTAAATTGTATTACGATCGGACCACTATTAAGTAAAATATCACCGAAAAACGGGAAAACGGGGAAATTTTTCTTTGCTCAAAACCCATGTTGTAGGTACTACTGAACAAGAATATGTAGTTTTTATTACTATCGCTTTTAAATAAAACATCACCGGACAGGTTACCTAACCTAACATAACCTAACTTAGGGTTAGATTAGGTTAGGTTAGGTTAGGATAGGTTAGTTTAGGTAAGGTTAGGTTAAGTTAGGTTAGGTTAGGTTAGGTTAGGTTGAGTTTCGTTAGGTTAGGTTAGATTAAGTTTGGTTAGGTTAGGTTAAGTTAGGTTAGGTTAGTATAGTTTAGGTTAGGTTAAGTTAAGTTAGGTTAGGTTGGTTTAGGTTAGTTTGAGTTTCGTTAGGTTAGGTAAGGTTAAGTTTGGTTGGGTTAGTTTGGTTAGGTTAGGTTAGTTTAGGTTAGTTTACTTACAATACTCATGTTATTGATAAATTTACCTAACCTAACCTAAGTTCCTAAGTTAGGTTAGGTTAAGTTAGGTTACACTAAACTAACCTAACCTAACCAAACTTAACCTAACAAAAATTAACCTAACCTAACCGAAACTAACCTAACCTAACCAAACTTAACCTAACCTAACGAAACTCAACCTAACCTAAACCAACTTAACTTAACCTAACTTAACTTAACCTAACCTAACCTAACTTAACCTAACCTAACCTAAACTAAACTAACCTAACCTAACCTAACCTAACTTAACCTAACCTAACGAAACTCAACCTAACCTAAACCAACCTAACCTAACCAAACTTAACCTAACCTAACCTAACGAAACTCAACCTAACCTAACCTAACTTAACCTAACCTAACCTAAACTAACCTATCCTAACCTAACCTAATCTAATCTAACCCTAAGTTAGGTTATGTTAGGTTAGGTAACTTGTCCGGTGATGTTTTACTTAAAAGCGATAGTAATAAAAACTACATATTCTTGTTCAGTAGTACCTACAACAAAACAACATGGGTTTTGAGCAAAGAAAAATTTCCCCGTTTTCCCGTTTTTCGGTGATATTTTACTTAATAGTGGTCCGATCGTAATACAATTTACATATTCTTGTTCAGGAGGAAATTCCGCACAATCTGAGTACCCACAACATGGGTTTTGAGCAAAAAAATATGTTTCCCGTTTTTCCCATTTTCCGGGAAAACGGGACGTTTCCGAAAAAAACGACAATCATTTTTGAAATCAGCGTGAAATTTCGAACATTTTGGAAAAAAATAATTTTAATTTCGCGTGAGGTCCGGAGGTCGATATAATTACCTTTTTGCGCTTCACATATTTCACCATTGAAACGCCGTCAATGAGTGAAAACCTTGTTAGTAAGCTATTGGCAACGATGATTTTATAAATGTAAGTGCCCAGCCCTATACAACACTGATTCAAGGTCTTTTTCCCGGTTATCAAATCTTCAGAACAATTTTATACACA